CATTATGTATGTCTGAGATTTTCAGGGTGTTACGGTTTTTTATGAGTAGAGTAGTATCTTTCGTGAGGCCTAATCTTTCCTTTGTAAAACAAGTCTGAGTCATTTATGTGTGGGATGCGGCAGCAGTAGTCATATACACTCCGAACTAACTATTTTCCCTCGTGCAGATTTGAAAAAAAACAATCATTGTCGTAACCATGGTTATGGGAGACACCTCCTTGACACCTCTGCATTGCTCCAATGAGGGCTTGCATTTAGCCCTCCCGAAGGCCCAGGTAGTCGTCATAACTTCACGTCTACATATAAAGCTTAAGTGCTTTGCACATTGTTTATTTCTCCTTCAATTAACGGAAATAGTTCTCTTTTATTTTGGATATCCTGTGCTGGCCTTTCGTAGGGTGGTTTTCCTGGCAAGTCTCTCGGACCGACTCTTACCTCATCCAGAAGAGGTTAGTACGAAGTAGTTTGTGGCTACTGGTCAGCGAGAAGAAGTACAAAATTCCTTCGTTGACGCACACGGTGCTTTTTGCAAGTTAGCCCCTCTTACTTTTTCCTCGCTTCTTGTTTTTTCCTACTGACGCGTATTGATGAAGACTGGTAGCGATGATGAGGAAAATTATTAGTTTAAGTGATGTGCCCTTCATACTGGTTTATTTGTTAGTTATTGCAACTGCTTTATAGTAATTATTCTGTGTTCTCGTCATCTAGCTAGGACTTCTTACTTTAATTAAATTAAGAACAGATGTTTTGTAGAAACTCTAATACTCCGTTCACACCAGAGCTTAAATATGTTTAAAACTTGTTTTGATAAGCAGATTTAAGAGGACTAGCCACTCACACTGTGGGTGTGTTTAAGAGAACGTGTCTTAAACTGGGTTTAACAAAACTACCTCGTCAGGTAGTTTAACAGTCGTTTTTAGTGAAACCCATTCAAAATGGCGACAGAAACCACAACGCGCGGAAGAGTTTAGGAGCATAAAGAAACCCTCCCGTTGCTTGAAAAGTGGGGAGACGAGAATATCCAGCTTAGGCTAAAATCGTGCACACGAAAGAAGCCTATATGGCTTGAAATTACGGCATATCTTCGAGCGGCAGGCTATGAAGACAGCGACGACAGCAGCTGCAAGAAAAATGGCGACAGGTCATACGTTTTACTGCTCTCCCATATTTATTGTTATTTTAGCCTACTGCTTGATCTTTAAGGGCCTCATATCTTTTAGACTTCGACAGTCTTGTCCTGAGACTCGACTGCACCTCCCTGGATCCCTTGCGGATGTTGAGAAGACCCGAGGTTTTGATGCTTTGTTGAAACGACGAGTCCGCCATCTTGATTCTGGAACACGTGTGAAGGGATATTTTGCAACAGGCGTAACTCGATATTCTAATTCTACTTCCACATTCAATATTTCAGGGCTGATAAACTGTGGAGACGTTGAATTAAACCCTGGACCAGATCAACCATCTTCGACAACTCGTAAAAATCTTGTGTGGAAGTTTCCTTGCAAAGTATGTACGAATCCTGTTCGCTCCAACCAGAAAGGCATTCTTTGCGATGGTTTCAACAAATGGTTCCATCTAAGATGTATTCCCATGAATCTAAAGACTTATATCTTATTAAGTTCTTCTGATGAACAGTGGTTATTTGACAACTGTGCCTGGCCATTTAACTTTAATGATTCGTTTTTTGAGACATCCTTTTCCACCGAGATGGATGTAAGCTCATCGACTTAGTCTTTCTCTGTGGATATTTTACCTCGTTCCTCTAATGCTTTTTATTAGCTGTTTATGCTGAATGTGAGGAGTCCTCGAAACAAGATTGATGACGTGACAGCTCTGCTATTGATGGACTCTTTCGACATTGTTGCCTTGACTGAGACCTGGTTGAGTGACGATTTCAGTGACTCAGAGCTACAGCTTGATGGCTACAACAATTTCGCTGCGACAGATGTAACCGGCGAGGAGGTGGAGTTCTGCTAGGAATTAAATCTCGTCTGTCTTGTAATCGTCAGTATGATCTTGAAGTTGAAAACATTGAGATGCTGGCTTGTGAAATCCATACTAGTAGCACAAGATGTCTCATATTCTCGGTTTTCTATAGACCTCCAAATGCAGACGAGGCTTTCTTGAATGGGTTCATAACCTTTCTGCACAAATTCAGTGGTATTGGAGTATCTGATCAAATTATCACTGGTGATTTTAATTTTCCTGATATTGATTCGTCAACCACCAGCCCAACAAACCTCCATGCTCAAGTTGAATCTTTTTGTGAGATTTTAAACTACTCTTTACTTATCCAAATGAATGGGTTTCTTACTCGTCCTTGCTCAACCACCGATAATCAATCTACTGGAAGTATACTGGACCTCGTTCTAACTAATCATGATGCCTTGATTGAAAATGTGTTAACAAGGACCGGAAGCTTTGATTCAGATCCTATTTCTGTAACTTTTAACATCAAGAGCAGTTTTTACAGGTTGAAGAATGTGTCAAGAAAAGTATGTAATTATAAAAAGGCCGATTTTGATGGTTTGACAGCAACTCTGGCAACTCTGAGCAACTCTGGTTTGAGAGCATACCCTGGGATGCCTGTTTCTCGGCCAATGAGCTGAATTCCAGTGTGGAATGTTTCCAAGACTTGTTTTTCGCGGCAGTCAATCAACATATTCCCCAGTCTCAACTAAGACCCCATGCTAGACCTCCGTGAATTGATAATGATGTTCGTAATGAAGTTGGTTGGAAAAAAGAAATCTCTCTGGTAGCGCTTAAAGAATAACTCGTATCATGACCTGTTTTCAAGATTTAAGCTGTTAAGGAAGGAAACAAAGAAATTTATTTCTTCCAAATATTTTACCTACTTGAAGTCACTATCACAGGATCTAAGGACCAATCCAAAGAAGTTCTGGTCATTTCACTCCCTGAAATCAAAAGCGAGGCGGATTCCACCAATTGTGACGTATAGGCTTGGGTCTGCTAGTGATCCAGCAGAGAAGGCATTTCTGTTTAATGAATGTTTTAGTTCTGTGTTCACATCTCTCTCTGTAGATCACGCGACGTTACGGAATAATGTGACTCATCCAGATTTATCAATGAATGTGTCTACTTCTGCCTTGGAAGTTCGGTAAATTCTTTCCAAGTTACGCGTAAACAAGGCTACAGGGGCGGATAATATTCCAGCGAGAATCTTTAAAGGATGCTATAGGGAGGTTTCGTACCCACTCTCTACTCTAGTTAATATGTCTTTTAGATTGGGCGGGGTTCCTCAAGAATGGAAAACAGCTAATATTACGCCTGTCTTAAAGTCTGATAACAAAACCATGGCTGAAAATTATGGGTCAGTCTCCTTGTTGTGTGTTCCCAGCAAGTACCAGGAGAAGATCATACATAATGCTATATTTCAACGTGTGGCTCCATACCTACATGACTGGCAACATGGCTTTATTAAAGGTCGATCCTGTGTCACCGGGTTAGTGCTGACTCACCATCACTGGTCCAAAGCTTTGGATGCTGGGCATTAGGTTGATGCAGTCTTCCTGGATTTTAGCAAAGCATTTGACAAAGTATCCCACGTTATTCTACTGCAAAAGTTATGTAACTTCGGTGTCTCTGGTTGCCTGTTAAACTGGTGCAAAGACTACTTATCAAGCCGTGTGTAGAGGGTAGTAATAGATGGGGTTAGCTCCGACTGGCATCCTATCTCCTCAGGGGTACCTCAGGGGTCCCTTCTGCGCCCCCTGGTTTTCGTGATTTTTATTAATGATCTTCCTGATGTTGTCTCTCCCACAAGCCTGGTGGCTTTATACGCAGATGACTGTAAGATCTCAAGGGTAATTGAGCATCCATATGGTCAGGCATCGTTTCAAGTTGACATAAATAACCTGGTTTCTTGGAGTGGACTAAATCATATGAGCTTCAATGCCAAGAAACGCACGTTAATGCGGATTACCAGGAATCGCTCCCCTATTCTCCCTCCTCTACAACTGGGTGGTACCACCCTTGACGTTACAGCTGAATTTTCTGATCTTGGCTTGCTAATTAGCCACAAGCTGTCCTGGAACTCTCACATAGATAAGATTTCCAGTAAGGCGAACAGAGTGCCTGGTTTGATAAGGAGGAATTGCAGAGATTTGAAGGATGTTTCAACACTAAAAACTCTATATTGTGCTCTGGTTAGGTCACAGCTGGAATACGGGCCTGTTGTTTGGTCACCTTTCACTGCCAAAAATATTACTAAATTGGAAAAATTACAGCGTTAATCAACAAGTTTATTCTGAAATCTGATGATGACTATGAAGTTTGTATCTCTAAACTTAATTTATTGTCTTAGAGCATAGACTATTTATTTTTGATGTACTCTTTTTTCATAAAGCTTTGAACAGATACATTAACTTAGACATGTCTACATATGTCCATTCTACTCTGATACTGATAGGTACCCCCTAAGAGGTAAAGACAGCCTTACTTTAAAGAAGAACTATGCTCGAACAAACGCGTTTAAATTTAGTTTTTTAAGAAGAATTTTGTTCTTTAACAATTATCACGACTTATAAGTTACTTAAAAACTTTTTACTTGGTATGAGCTTGAGGTCGTAGCAGTAAGGACTGAGCGCATTGAGATCTACACAAAAACAACCGCTTATATTTCTCAGTACGGCTCGAGCAAGCGAAGTTAGTGGGAGGTTTATTATCTGCAACTCGGAGCAAACTTTTTTATTCTGAATTTGCCGGCTATCCCAAATAAAAATTCACTACACTTTTAAAAAGAATACAATTTTTTTAAAAAAGAAATTGATACCAAGTTGTCACTAAAAGGGAAACTATTGGTTGCACCCTTTTACATTCTTGCACTCAAGATGGTTCGTCTTTTCATTAATAAAACTCAAGAAATATATAAGAAATGATATTCTAAAGCCTTATGTTCCTCGATTCGCTGTTAAACAGCTTTCTTTGTAGAGTTGCTTTTAAAATCAACAAATATTAAAAGGGTTAAGTCAAATAAATAAAAATGATCTGGCAGGGCCGGCAGAAATATTCATTACTCCATACTTTCCTGTATTAGAATTTGGTTACACTGCAAGATCGTCAACATTAGCGTATTGATGATGCTCGTAATTTTTAAAGTTTATCAACCCCTGTAAAAAAGGAAAGAAAACAATAAGAAATTGCGTTATTGCGATGCATAGTTTATGACAATCATTCCATGAGCGAGTGTTGGATATGGAATGGTACTCAGCTAAGCCAAAGAGGCTCGTAGCGCCCAGTTCGCTATTGCCAATCTCGTATCCAATAAGCGCGACTGGAATATATTTCTTTATAGTTTTCTTACCAAAATTTTTTAACTCTTTAATTCTCTTCAAATTTAGGCAACCGGAAGTCAATGTTACCTCCGACCGCCAAAACGGAAGAACTTGAGTCACATGACAAATGCATCGCTTTACGACCGAAGCTAAATGAAAATTCATCGCTGAGTAATATTAACAGCCGGACCTGAATATTCACACGAGACAAAGTAACTTCCGATCCAAGAAGTGTTTTAAGGGTACGAGATACAATAGCTACGAGACAAGAGGGTCTGAATGGGGTTTAGTGTTTAGTGTTATTTGCCCATGTTTTTTAGTGTTTACTGTTAAATTAGCCATTTTTTAATATTTACTGTTCTTGAAGAAAATATTGTTTACTGTTTCAAAGGAGATCCCAAAGTTATTTTAGTATTTTAAAATTTCATGTGCTCTTTTAAATTTTGCAAGAAAATGATGAAAATCACTCGCGAACAGTGAGCCAAAGCTGAAATGCTCTTGTCTTCATTCTGGGGAGTACTGGGACGAATCAATGTCTACGAATGTAAATGCTTATATTAAAAACACAGTCGCTGAAGTAAGGCAGCACTATAAAATGAATAAAAAGGCAGCAACAAATGGCCCTGAAGGAACTATTTCTAGAACAACATAGGAGTCTATAGGGACTTTAAGATAGTACACTACGTTCGGTTGGGACGGTTGTAAGCGTACACGGGCGGCCTGGGACCAGGACAGTGAAAAGGCGCGAAGAATTTATTTATTTATTTTATTTTCCTAATACTTGCTCTCCATCTATGCAATGACTCTTAGCGAGAAATAACTACCCATCTCACCCCAGGAGAGGACATCCATCACAGTTATCTCGTGCGTGGGAAATTAACGTCTCCTGCCCCTAGCTTTGCAGGAGACGGGACCTCCATTTATTCGTCCCTATCCGAGAAGACTAGAATATCTAACCATTTCTTGATGTTATAGAAAGGTAGCATATTCTTCTAAATTATTAAGACCCGGAGTGTTGCTCGACCTCCCGCTCAACAGTCCAGCGCTCTATCCATTGAGCTAACCGGGAAGCGGTTATTTCACCTTAAGTTCGGGGAAAAAGACAGAGGAAGGTGAAGTCAAGATGTGAGACTCACTCGTAATTTCTTTCGCAGAAGGCGCAATTAGTGTAGGCTGTACACAAGGAAAAATAGAATCAACAAGCTGAAAGAAAACCAAAGAGAACTTTCAAATACAAGACATGACACTACACCACTCTACCAGAATGTTTTTTCCACACAAAAAAAGAAATTCACCTGAAAGAAATAAGTCCAACAGCAAGAAAATCTATGGCTAACCAAACGCGAATAAAACAGCCTGCAAACTGGCTACAAACAGCGGAAAAGGGAGTTTTAGTGGGAATGATTCTTACAGCCTTTACCACAACGAGAAATCATGGGAAAACAGACCGTCTCAGAGGCACGACGGTGGCATCTCATTGGTATTTTTGTTGCTTGACACATTCCCAACCGTCGCAGCCAACCGTACTGCACAATCTTAAAGTCCCTATCGGTGCTTTTCGAGCGAGGTATGGAACAGCTACGAGATAACGTGAAGAATGTAAATGAGTAGTATCTTGGTGACATTGACCTGCGTAGGCTGCTAACAACTCAGGTGGAGAACCTTCTTGCAGCCTCCCACTTCAAAAACAAGACTTTCAATTCTCCTCAATACGCTCAAGACTTTGGAACAATTTCAAAGGAATCTTTAAAGAGAACAACGAAGTGGGGTGCAAAATACTTCACTCATGAGAAGTCTTAGTATCCGGTGCCTAAATACAGTGTGAATTTACGGGATGTAGATTTCATGAAACCTCCTCCAGCTGGTAACGTTGATCCCAAGATTGAGGCAGCCATGAAGGAATTGGTTGACAGGTATCGACCTGTCAGGCAAAGGACGGTAAGAAGCGAAACAACAAAAGACAAAGCGGGAGCCCTGCCGCCAGCTGTATATTCTAGTATGCCATTGTGTACTGCAGTAACATTCCAAGAGGATGTTCAAGACAATCCAGGGACAGGCAATGAAGAACGAGTCGACCAGGATACAGATATTCCACGAGCTATAGATGAAGTACCGAGAATCACCTTTGTTGACGAAAGCATCCTCGGAGTTGTCGCAGTTGTCGCAGTTGATGACGTGACAGACCTCCCCGAGCAAGAGGATGAATTCGACACTGAATCGGAAGGCGATGCGGACAATGATACAGACATAGCGTTCAGCAGATTTGGTCGCGCCATCCGTGCTCACTTCTGCCTTAATCTCTAGAAACAGCTGGGACTATCAGGGCAATCTGGACTATTCAGGTTTGGAATATAGTTAAATGTCTTTGGGCAGGATGTAGTGACATGTCTGTCATTTTTGTTGATCATTATACATTGTGAGTACTGTAGCCGATCTTATTGGTAAAAGAAATATTCTGATATTGCATTCATTACTAGTGAAATTTAAACACCCATTTATGTTAACTTTATCTCTTTTTGTGAAGGTGTAGTCTGATCGTCCGGGTGAGTGTAACCCTGAGAAGGACTGTTGTCGGTGGTAGTGACTGACGTTTCGACAACCTGTGCGGAAGTCATCATCAGAGTCAAGTGAATGATTGTTGTCAGTAGAATGTTCTTATTCCAGTTCGTGTGAAATGATCGGTTGGTTTTGCCGTGATGTTATTGGCTGTAAGACTCAAGTGACGTAAGTCGGTCGTGATTGGTCTGTTTCGATCTGTCGGTAAAGTTAGGTCGTTCTTTTTCGGTCGTTTGTGATGTTTATGTCGTGAATGAGTCGTTTGTATGGAGCGGGTAGTTGTTGACATCTGTTTAGGGGAGTCTGTTCTAAGTTAGTAAACCAGCTTTCCAGAGTCAGTCGTTGAAAATAGTCAGTGCTGTAGGTTAGGCATTGCGCAGAGTCCCAGTCAATGTTGTGGTTGGTAAGTCGATGGTGTTCAGCAATGTGATTGCTGACATCACCTTTCCTCGTCGCCCGTCTGTGTTCAGTCAGTCTTGTTGTGAGGTTTCTGCCAGTCTCACCGATGTAGGAGGCATAAACATCACAAACGACCGAAAAAGAACGACCTAACTTTACCGACAGATCGAAACAGACCAATCACGACCGACTTACGTCACTTGAGTCTTACAGCCAATAACATCACGGCAAAACCAACCGATCATTTCACACGAACTGGAATAAGAACATTCTACTGACAACAATCATTCACTTGACTCTGATGATGACTTCCGCACAGGTTGTCGAAACGTCAGTCACTACCACCGACAACAGTCCTTCTCAGGACTACACTCACCCGGACGATCAGACTACACCTTCACATGTTACCCCCGGGTTCAAACCATTTACTGCATTATGAATATATGGTGCCTTAATTTTTTGGGCTAGTTCTAGCCCTAGAAAGAGAGCATCTTGCCAATACAATCCCTTTATTTAGATGATTTACTGTATTCTACGTTTCGAAGTAACTTTCGAAGGTGGTAGATTGGAATATTCACATTTTAAAAAGAAAGAATACACTACGGAGAGTGTCTCTTTGTAAAATTTCTTTGTTTACCTTCTGCCTTTCCATTTTTTTAAGTTCATTCCTTAAATGCTCAAAAGATGGTCTCGCGTTAGGGTCATTTTTCCAACAGTTTGTCATTATGTCATACCTAAAACAGAAAGATATCATGAGCATTTATGCATTGGCTGAGGCGTTATTATTAACTCAGAAAATATTGGGTTTTTTTTTAACAATGTCCAAATAGAATGTAGATCAGGAACGATTAAACTATTTAGCGTTAAATTTAAAGGTTTTAAAATCACGGATACAAGGCCAAACGAAACAAACTCGTGATAATATACTTATTGCATCATTTCCCTTCGGTAGACTGGTTCAACATGCTAAAATGGTCTAATCTAAGACTAGGCACGCAGATCAAACGAAGCGTAAAAAAGCAAAAAAAATACTACTGAACGAGAGAAGCTACCGAAATACAACAACAACAGTAGCAAAAATAAAAAAAACAAAAAAGAAAAGAATGTTTAACAAAAGAAAACTCCATCACGATATTATCATACAACTTATCGTCCACATGTTGGGGTTTAGGCATTCTGTATCCCTCTTGAAGGGAGTGTGCGATTTTCCTTCCATCCATCCTTGGATATGGTGAACCTCCTGAAATAAGGCAGCTAGTGTTTATATCATTCAATATGAAAGGCTCTGTCGATGTAACAATATTTTCAAAGAACACTATCAAGTCCATCGAAGGTGTTAATCTAAATGAGAAAGCCGAGTTCCGTCAGGTAATATTGCACCCTGCTAAATTCACGACCTCTTGTCACCTCAATTGCTGAAGCTAAAAATGTATGGCTTGTCTCTCAGCCTAACAACTTACCAATTGTTAAAATCTCATAGAGGAGAACTCCGTAGCTCCACCTGCAAAGCGAAAGAACTGAATTGAGGGGAAAAAAAACTTTCTTGTCTCCAAAAAAGGAATTCGAACTACTTTGGCAAGACTTCATGGCAGATGCCATGTACTTAATGGGAGTTGGTTCCTGACCATTACTCATAATTTAGGAGTTAGTCCTGGAGCATCTGTAATCCGGTGGGAATTTTGTGATAAAAGCAAGCCACCAATTTAGACATGTTAAAGGGACACTGAGGAACATGTAAAATGTAGTCGGAAATTTTGTGACTAGCACCACCGACTGCTGTGATGAGTTTGAATTGTGACCTCAAATTCCAGCATGAAAACGAGGCTACACCTTGAAATGCCTTTAAGGTCGTTAATGACAGCGAATCGTTACCAAATTGATTTATATTCCGTATTAAAGTATATCTGACACATCTAAGTGACTTTTTTACACCATGAACCGCAACGATGGGTTTAAATTGTGGCGATTATGTTCCAACATGGAAACGAGGCTGTCCCCCAAAATGTTTTAAGAGCGTTGTTAAGAGCAAAAAGTTGATACCAAAGTTACTTAATCTTCAGTTTTAAGTGTATCTGACACACTAAAGAAAACTTTAAGTGTTAAACCTGGTGTAATATAGATTGGAAAATGCATCAACTTATTTTGATTCCTGTAAAATAAATACATTGACCCGGTTGAAATCAACAAAATATGCAGGTATTACATTACAAGGGCCAGACGCTATGGCAAAGGCATCCTAATCATTGACTTCTTCCCTCCTTCTTCTTTTTCTCCGTTGTCGTCAAAAGGCTTAACGTTGCCCTCTTTGATGTTAGCAAAGAGCTCATGCCCATCTTAGTGGAACATCTCTTTTTGGCAGAGCCACATTTGACAACATGCAAGACTGCATGTCTCATCAGTGGAATCACTTACACGAAAATAAACACAGTATTCCATACACTTTAGCCTTTATTGTTATAAAGTGTATAATTATGACCTCCTCCAGCAATGCAGCTTGCAGTGGAGGTAGTCTTTGGGCTTGTTTCTACCACAAAAGTGATCACCACAGAAAAGTGCGTCTTTGGCTGGTATCGCTGGCAAACTAGATTCAGCAAACGTATTTCATGCAGGGTACATGGTTCTACCCAGATCTCTCAGTCCTGTTAGTCTATCCTCGTCAGATTCGAGGACCGCTTTCCAGCAGGCCAGCTTCCCTTTACCAGCGAAGCTTCTGGTAATAAAGGCTCCAATTCAGGCATAAAACCTAAGAAATGCTGCAACTCTAGCAGGTCTTACAGCACGGACGATAGGACTCAGCAGTATTGAATGCGCCGCCCTTTTTCTGAGAGGTGAATGCCTCGAGAGTTGGTAAATGAAGTGCATAGCCATNAGAGGCCAAACCGTGGGTAAAGAGGCCCGACGGGCGTAGGACTTTCAAGAAGGTTGAAACTGATTCGGGAAGCTCTCTAATCTAGCGTCTCCGATCTGCTCACGCGTGGGTGGAAAGACTCGTCTCTTGCAATGATCATGTGAGAGGCCAGCCGAGGTGAAAGGGATGTTTACCCCTAGTGTTCACGGGTCAAACTGGTTTAATCATGCAGCCTTTGGTTAAAACCGAAAAAGGAAATTTAGTAGAAAATTTGTCCCCATGAAAAACAAGTCGAGAATGAGACAAATATTTTACCCATTGTTCACGTGCATTGTTCACGTCCAAGTGTTCACGTGCCTATTGGGAAACGGGAAAAGAAAACACTATGCGCAGTACATTTTTCTGAAATTACTACCACAAAAAAAGCCTTAGAGAAAGTAAATCATTTGTATAACTTATTTTCGAAGAAAAGGGATCGGTGCATATCAAGTTTTACTCAGAAATCAAAATGAAAATACAAAACTAGCGTAGTTTTTACGTGTTTGTCTAAACACGACTGTAGACTTGTTACCTGGAAACGGTGAATGAGAAACAAGACGAAAGTGACCAAGAAATATTTGGAGACAGTCTATTGTATTCAAAACAGTTCTTGGTGACTGTTAGAAACAAAAGACGTTTGAACCTTTTACGTCTGCGAAACCCGCGCAGTAGATTACTAGACTAATGTCCATGCTTAGCCTCGTTGTTTACTTGAGAAAATTGCGTAGCTCTATTGGATAATTTTAAAAGTTGTACGTTTTGACACAAAATCTTCAATTACATAACACTTTAGGGACATGTCATAGTATGAATATAATATTTACTGGGCTGTGGAAACGTCAAATTGTCGCTAAGCCTCACTTGAAGTAATAAAGTTCGATTTCACTGTCTAGCCATAATTCGCATCGTTTCAGAGAATCGGAATGCCGTTGACTCGAAAGCTTATTCCGTCGTTTTTAAGACTTTGATATCCATTATGTTCCGAACAGAGTATTCGATGGCATATTCAGTTTTCACTTTGAGCTCAAGAAGGTCTAACGCAGGCGGAAATGTACGGAAAATCCAACTTTAAAATTTTGAAAGGCGGCCGCTCGGACTTCAGTTTGATCATTTATTGAGAAAGTGTTAGTGCTACTTAGCATGGGGAGATAGGGGGAAAGCGTCTCTCACACCTGAAAATCCCGCTACGCGGGTGTCCATGTGTTCACTTACAGGGGAGTTGTCCGGAAAACTTGAACAACGAGTGATGACATATTTAAGGATAACGAAATAACCTTAAAAAAAAATAGCGCGTGGTGACCCCTATTTTTAATGACACCGAACAAAAGGAAAAAGTCTGTAAAACACATGGTTAATTTTTCATTCAGTGCAAAAACTGATTTGCCAGTATATTTGGGTGTGCAAGTGGGAGTTGAGAAAGGTCTTAAGGCAGTCATTTTGATGATTAAAACTTAAATTACCTTATTCGGAGGATCGTATCTGCTTTTTATTTTAAAGATTTTTACATAAACTAATACTTTAGATTTAAAAAAATCAAATTCAAGAGGAATTAACTGGAAAATTTCATTTTTCTACACCTTTTAAAAAAATGCAATGTCAGCAAACCATTTATAACTACGTAAAGGACTCTGGTGATGATCCTTTGCGAGAAAGTTAAAGTCTTTTGCCTGGTGCCGTCAACACTACCACCTCCCAACTAGTATCTATTGGAAGCAGAGGTTCGATTTCTGTCGACGTCTGACCGTTTTCAAGCTTCTCTTTTTGCAATTGTTTATGTTGTAGTGCACCTGCGAGGATCATTTATCTACTTGATTTTGATTCAAAGGCGAAATGAAATTTATTTCGTTGAAATATTTTGATAAGCTTAAGAACTGCAATTAGGTCGTCCTTTTACTCACACATCACTTTTTGTGGAATATCTTCCGTACAGCAACGCCTCAATGGCAGTCCATTTTACAGGGAGACGCCCCTGAATAAGAAAAAATATAAGAAGTTGAAGGAGTCAATTCTCCATATGACGAGATAAATGCACGAGAAGTTCTGAAAACTAAAATAGTTTACAGAGCTTGTTTACTATTAACGGTCAGTCGAGTGTAACGTCCTTACGCATAAATCGAGGATCACAAGAAGGTAAGTCGCTAAAAGCTATTTTTACCCCGGATTTTCTGTCGTAAATGTTTTCCTCTTGCACATCTCTGGCCATTCCAAAGTCTGTCACTTTGCATGTTTCTCCTTCTCCAACCAACACATTACGAGCCGCAAGGTCACGATGAACAACCTTTGACAAGAAGAGAATGTTGCGTTTTACAATCTCTAAAGAATGCAGAGTTGACACGCATCCCATCATTAGGCATTGAGTCTAGGAGTCAATAAAAATGGAAGTTTACTTTGTGCATAAACCCCCTTCAGGCGGCTAGTACATCGGTTAATAATTTCTCAAGGCAATCTCTCAGCTAGGACATTATCAGCCCAAATACCAGCAAGTCAGAAGAGGATTTTTTTTTCACTTTTACAGTCAAACTAAGTGAAGCGTACCCCTCAAGATTACATTAATGAATCGATCATTTGGATATTGAACTCGCCAGTCGTTTCAAGAATGCAATAATGAATTGATTATTTGATTATTGAACCCACTAGCCGTTTCACGAATGCAATAATGCATTGATTATTTGAATATTGAACCCGAAAGCCGTATCCGTTTTGAAAAGGCGTGGATCATTGTTCAAATTAGAAGTCCATTTCTGATGTCCAACAAGACTGTTCTATTTGACGACGAATCCTGAAAATGAACAAACTGCACTGTAAAAACACTGCGAAACAGTCGATCGCAAATAGTAACGAAATTAAAAAAAAGTCTAGCGATGGCTTCGCCCGTAAACTATTTTTTCGACCTTGAATACGCACAAGAATTTCTACAAGTTCGTCAAGATGTAAATAGGCGAAAAAGCTCTCGATAACATTCCATTTACAACATTTACAAGAAGTTCTACACAACATTCGAACTCACCTTTCCCGCCAAGTCTGACGCCATGTTGAAATAGTTCCGATCCATCATCACGTGTTCGCATAATCCAATCAGAAATGGACTTCTGATTTGAACAATGATCCGCGCGTTTTCAAAACGAATACGGCTATCGGGTTCAATATTCAAATAATCAATCCATTATTGCATTCTTGAAACGGTTAGCGCGTTCCATGTTCAAATATTCAATTCGTTATTGCGCTCCTGAAACGATTAGCGGGTTCAATATTCAAATAATCAAATCATTAATGTAATCCTGAGGGGTACGCTTCACTTAGTTTGACTGTAAACCCTCCAATAAATTTTCATATTGCTTGTTGCGAGCAAATTTGTTTACTTTTTTTTCGTACTTTNAAATGTTGTCCTCTTGCACATCTCTGGCCATTCCAAAGTCTGTCACTTTGCATGTTTCTCCTTCTCCAACCAACACATTACGAGCCGCAAGGTCACGATGAACAACCTTTGACAAGAAGAGAATGTTGCGTTTTACAATCTCTAAAGAATGCAGAGTTGACACGCATCCCATCATTAGGCATTGAGTCTAGGAGTCAATAAAAATGGAAGTTTACTTTGTGCATAAACCCCCTTCAGGCGGCTAGTACATCGGTTAATAATTTCTCAAGGCAATCTCTCAGCTAGGACATTATCAGCCCAAATACCAGCAAGTCAGAAGAGGATTTTTTTTTCACTTTTACAGTCAAACTAAGTGAAGCGTACCCCTCAAGATTACATTAATGAATCGATCATTTGGATATTGAACTCGCCAGTCGTTTCAAGAATGCAATAATGAATTGATTATTTGATTATTGAACCCACTAGCCGTTTCACGAATGCAATAATGCATTGATTATTTGAATATTGAACCCGAAAGCCGTATCCGTTTTGAAAAGGCGTGGATCATTGTTCAAATTAGAAGTCCATTTCTGATGTCCAACAAGACTGTTCTATTTGACGACGAATCCTGAAAATGAACAAACTGCACTGTAAAAACACTGCGAAACAGTCGATCGCAAATAGTAACGAAATTAAAAAAAAGTCTAGCGATGGCTTCGCCCGTAAACTATTTTTTCGACCTTGAATACGCACAAGAATTTCTACAAGTTCGTCAAGATGTAAATAGGCGAAAAAGCTCTCGATAACATTCCATTTACAACATTTACAAGAAGTTCTACACAACATTCGAACTCACCTTTCCCGCCAAGTCTGACGCCATGTTGAAATAGTTCCGATCCATCATCACGTGTTCGCATAATCCAATCAGAAATGGACTTCTGATTTGAACAATGATCCGCGCGTTTTCAAAACGAATACGGCTATCGGGTTCAATATTCAAATAATCAATCCATTATTGCATTCTTGAAACGGTTAGCGCGTTCCATGTTCAAATATTCAATTCGTTATTGCGCTCCTGAAACGATTAGCGGGTTCAATATTCAAATAATCAAATCATTAATGTAATCCTGAGGGGTACGCTTCAATAAGTTTGACTGTAAACCCTCCAATAAATTTTCATATTGCTTGTTGCGAGCAAATTTGTTTACTTTTTTTTCGTACTTTCTGAAGAAGCATTTAAATCAGCTTTTTAATGTGAATAGTGACTGTTACTCGATTATTCCGCAAGACGAGAACATTTTCGCCTCACGGTGTGACGTCAGTCATACAAGGAAGTTTTAGTATGGAAGGAAAAATCACTGACTCACTCTCTCACCCATTCCATTAAAAAATTTCTTAGACAAATAAATAATAATAAATAATAATAAGTAATAATAATAAAAATAAATCACGCACTAAGCCCTGGATCAACGCGTTATCCTCTGCCACCGCTGCTAAGTTTGCTTCTATCCCCAGGGTCTCCCCACTGTCTTTTGTTCAAGTATCTGGGGAGGTGGGGGGACGTACAAAGTCCGTAACTTTTGCCTTAGTGCATGGAGTTATCAAAGTAATTCACTATCTGGCTAGTTTTTCCTTCTTTATGCTCCATCCTTGATCAAAATACACCCTTAAAACCTCAAAAAAAAAGAGGAAAGGCCAGGAAGAAAACTAAATTTGGAAGAAGGGGGCTAAAAAATTCGACGATGAAAATAATCCCTACGATCGACATGTGGAAACTATTTTGTTGGACCGAACGCTATCATCAAAGTGGTTTTTCTTTTCTTTTTGCTTTTTATTTTCGAGTTTCTATTTAGCTACCATCTGGCCACATTTTACACATGTTTGGCAGCTATTCGCCATGTTTTGATGTTTCACTCGGGAACTATTTCGCTCGCTAGTCGTCAATCTGATTAACTTAACGCGCCCTAAATGTTATAACTTGCTTGGGTAAAGTTGAGTTTTTGTCCAATTTCAGCATCAGTGCGGCCATAATTCTTCGATATTTTTGTCACTGTTTGGTCGTCAATTTATCTGACTTTTAAATTAACGTTTTCTTGAAACATTATCTTGTGTTATTTTTACGCATATTGTTTACTTAGTTCCAAGTTTTGGTGCTCTAGTCAAGTGATCATCGAAGGGTTCGTCACGCGCTACTTGAAAGAGATTGCAAAGACAAAGTTCTCACTATTTTATTGGAATGAAGTAGTAAAATTAATATGAAAAAGGTGAATAGGCGTTCCTGGCGAAGCCTATCCCAAAGTCGATAAAAACGTGACGAGGGTCAGAATCTTCGTAGAAGTCCCCGTTTTATTCTGAAAACAAGCAGTTAATGGCTAAAATCACAATGC